GGGGGGGGGGGGAAGGCACGAAGATATCTGACAGAGAATGCAAAACAGAGTTGAAGAAGTTGTGCGCACGTGTGCGTGCGTCTGCTTGTGTGAGTATTGTCAGATTTAACCATCCTGACGTGCGGTCACAGAGAGAGAGAGAGAGAGAGAGAGAGAGAGAGAGAGAGAGTGGTAGAGATTACTTCGTTGCTGTTTTTTTTTTTCCTTTTCTTTAATTTGTTATCGATTTACAACATTCATTGCCCGCCCATGGTGGCTATTTACCATCGAATATTTTGAGATCGCCAGTACACATTCATGATGAAAGTGCGTTGTGTTCGGGGAAAGACGGTTGCAAAAAGTCTTATCGATTAAACCCCTGAACCCCATCTTGTCTCATACATATGAGGCCTGGTTCCACTCTACCAAAAAAAAATAATAATAATAATAAAAAACAATATTATAATTTCACATTCGTTTGCAGATCGACTCTCATACATATGAGGCCTGGTTCCACTCTACCAAAAAAAGAAACATAATAATAATAAAACAATATTATAATTTCACATTCGTTTGCAGATCGACGGCAGTAATGTAGTATTAATATTATGGGTCGTCTAGTTGAGTATAGATGTCTGCGAATCTGTGATATCCCCCCAAAACTCTTTTTCTTTTTTGGAACCCTCCCCAGGTTAGTAATTAATCATTAAATTTTAATTTATTACGTAGTAGATAACTAAAACTGGAATGCAGCGTCGACCTTCCATGTGAATTCGGGGCCCTGGTCCCATCAGCAAAGAGTGGATTCAATTCCTGAATCTGGACGTGTTTGTGGACAGATGCAGAGAATTGCGATTGGTATGCTTTTCTGCATCTCTGTGCAAAACGCATCCAGATTCATGAATGAAACCCAATCTTCACTGTTATTGGGACCAGGCCCCGGGTCGGCTGCCGAGAGAAAGGAGGGGAAAACAAAAATAAAAAAGGACAGGGAAACGGCTGTAGCGCTCCTCGCATCTACGAGACTACCACCCGCCTGTTAAAATGTCACTGACTGGGAAGGGGGGGCGGAGGGACCAACTGGCCTGCCGTCTTCTCCCGAATAGAACGCCCTGTCATTATCGCTGCATCTGGACCGCAGGTTGTGCCAAATACAGCTATGCCGACCGGGCGTTCTATTCGGGTGCAGACGGTAGCTCAATTGGTACACCCATGAACCGTTGAAATACAGACCCCACTTCGTTTTTTTTTTACCTAGGGCCAATTCTGAATCGCCTAGGGCCGGTCAAGTTCCCTTTTTTTAAGGGAAAAAAAAAGACTACTCACTGGCAGATGTTCTGCTGCATGCATGCTTTGTATCTGGCCAGCGGATATACCTTCTAGAGCGAGGTCCCACTAGCAATTGGATTAAGCTCCTGAATCTGGACGTGTTTTCAGCAGAGATGCGGAAAAGCAGTTCAATCTCGATTTTCTGCACCTTTCCACGAACACGTTCAGATTCAGGCGCTCCATCCAATCCTCTTTGCTAGTGGGACCTCGCCACTCACAGAGGGACGGATACTCTGCCGAAAATTGAGGGGGGGGAAGGGCGCGGGCGCAAAAACAAATAGGAAAAATCGCAGGAAAAAAAAGCGACCGACAGGGAATCGTTGACATCGTGTGCCTCTTCTCTTTTTGTTCTTTTTCTCTCCTTTTTTATTTCCCTCTCGAGGGACTTTTCAACGCACTCGAGAGGTCTGACCGAGCGGCTTAAACATTAAAAAAAAAAAAAAAAAAAAAAAAAAAA